GACCACCAGTCAAATTTAATTTCTGTGGATTTTTCTTCTGCTGAAAAAAGGGACCAGTGATAGATTGGTTGGCTGCTGCTTCTACAGTTGAGGCATTTTCCAGATAATGTAAATCTTTCTGTTGGGATTACAGTTTTACCACAGTTTTCAAGGCAGACCACATTCAGAAGAGGTGGGGATCCTGGCTTCACATGGACAGTTTGATCAGCGTAACTCTGTCTTGTATCTTTCTGTATCACTAGACGAAAATAATAGATAGTATTTCCCTGGAGGGTTTCTGGGGCCACTGTCTGAACTGGACCTGAAGATGTTAACCATTTCAAATTTCTCTGAGTGGGATGACATTTCTTTCCTATACTCAATTTCATATTTGCATAGTCGGATAGCCTTCTAGTGCAGTACCAAGTAAACCTGATGCCCTTTAGTCCTTCTACGGAATCAGGGTCTGAGGATGAAGAGCCATCTAGAGCCCACCTGTCAGAAAAACCCACTGTCCGCCATGTGCCTCCTGCAATATTTGCAATTAGATCAGTTCTGTCGATCTGAATATAAATACTGTCTGATCCATTGATATCTATTTTATTCCAATATGCAGTGATATGGATAAAGAARTTAAACAGGTACAACCCATAATCTAAAGTAGAACCAGGAGCAGTTATGCATATGGTATTTGCACCATGCACCATAGATGAATTTATAGGGTTTGAGCAGTCTGCTTTTGTGTCCTCAGCAAGATAAAATTGCCACAAAGGTCTAGTAATAATACTGTCTTTGCAGCTCACCAGAAATCTAACAAACAGGTGGAAAGATGCCCCCTTTTTATGACGTAAGAGAGCAGTATGAACAGTGGGGGTCCAAATCCAAACCTGCTGTGTCTCGGAGCACTTTTGCTGACAAGCCACCAGTGGTCCTATGGTTTTTGAGGCATAATTCTTCGCTCTGACTTGTAAAAGAGCAGGTGCCAGTCCATTCCTCGTACGGTTCACTTTTGCCACAAACCCGGAATATTTTTCAGCATCAAATGATAAAGCAGAACAACGGACAAAACGTGTGGCATTACTTACATGATCGTGGTATGTATAAGTGTTATTCTGAACAAGATAGTCTCTCATTGTCCCAAATACCTGCAGATTGAAGGTCCACTCACACTGTAGCATGGGATGCTGTACAGGAATAAACCACACTAAATAAATCAAGTTGTGCAGAAAGGAAGGCCTGCTGCTGAAAATGTGCACTTCCATATCTCTGTCTACCACAGACCTCTTCTGATTGATATAAAGGTAGATATTGACCTTATACCAATGAAATTTCACAAACTCAACGGAGATTAAGTAGGACAGCTCCTGGTGCTGGTAGAGCACGTAGCGTGTGTTGGAGCCATCTGCAGAACGGATGTTTTCTCCCTTTGTATGAGAGGTTCTGTGGCTGTATCTGAAAATTTAAGTGCCTTTCTTGCTTTTGCCAGGCTGAAGGTTGACATAGGTCAGAGTTTCTCCACCTGCAGTTATGTCCTGCATACCACTGACTAGATGTAATTCTCCTGTCAAGTTTTTGAAGTCCTTTCCATCAACATGAAAGTAGAGGCTCGCCACCAGCATCTCACCAAGCTGCAGAAGAGCAGGGGCAACATCTTTCCTGTGCAAAGTAGGAGAACTGTAGAAACAGAACCATCCTCCTGTCCCCTTTCTGTCCAGCTGCCTGTAGACCAATGTCCTCTGTTGCACCACAGCTCCTGGGTAAGCAGAGGGTGGTAGTGCCTCTTGATGCTCATTGCCAGGAAGGAGAAAGGTAGATGGGTTGCCTGTGTGGTGGGTAAAACGGTATTGCCACATTATACTCTTCAGGCGTGCACACCAGCCCAGCACTACTGGCTGCCGTGGGTGGATCAGGTGAACGTGTGGCCAAAGCACAAACAGATGCATATCCTGCCTGCGCATCTCAATGCTCAAGTTGTTGTGAAGACACCGAGGAGCAGCCCGTGGCCTGGATGAGCACTGCATTGCAATCAGGCTGGAGGCTGTGGGTGGTGCCCTTCTTCCTGGAAGGCGGCTTGCCTGCAGCACAAGCTGCCCTGACCAGCGAGATGTCTTTTTCACACAGGCTGAGTTCAGGTACCAGGAGCAATGTGGTGGTGGCTGTGGCTGCAGCTT